ACCTCTCCTTGCCCCTCCTCACCCCTATACCCCTCCTCATCCCTCCTCACCCCTCCTCGCCCCACCCCATCCTCCTCACCTGTGGCCCACACCTGCCCTCCGTTACTACCACAGACATACAAATTGCTCACATCATTTCTAAGAAAATTTTTAACCTTGAGTGTCTGTATCCTGAAAGTCTCTGTTTTTTTCATTCTTTTCCATAAATAAAAGAAAATTATAAACCCAAAGCCACCTTAAAAAATAATACTACCAAACAAAATAGTTTTATTTCATTGTGGCCTGGGGCTGTGGTCTCTGCATCCTCCCAGCTCAAGGCCCCTGGAAATAAACACAAAAATGCGGGGGTGGGGGAAGAAACCCCCTCCTCAGGATGAGATTCAGGTCATTTAAAGTCACCTAGTGACCTGGAACAAGGTCACCACTTCCTACTGGAGAACACTGGTTCACGTGCCAGGTTCAGAAAAGGGAGGACCCAGCCCAGTTCAGTCGCGGGGTCCTCTGTCTCCCCTCGTGAGGAGAGTGGGACCCACCCCAGGATGAGGCCTCCTCCCTGCTGCCCAAGACCCCCTGAAGCTGCCTGTGCCACGCCTTCTGCCCGGACTACTGTTTCTCCTTCGAGTGGCTGGATTTTGACTTCAAAACTTAGCTCAGAAGTCACTTCCCACAAGGAGCACCAGGGAGCTGAGAGCTGCTCTGCAGGGCTCCATGTTCATCCCAGAAAGGCTGCTTCCTGCCTCCCAGCACGTGGGGTATTGGCTTATTTATTTTCACCGTCTGTCGACCCTCTAGCCTGTCCTGCGAGCTGTCGTATCCCAGTGCCCAGAAGGGCAACTTGGGCGGGGCTAGAGAGCCACCCAGCGGGGCGAGTGTGTGTGTGACGGGCTCACACATGGGAACAGCAGCTGCCTGGCAGGGAGCATGTTTGGGGGACCCCACCTGCCTCACCAGCCACAACATTGCCCCAGACGCGGGCACACAGGACTGCCTTTCATCTCCAGGGAGCCCGGGGCAAGAAGTCGGGCCACACCATCTGGGACCTAGGATTTGTGGTGCCCGGTGTGCGTGAGGGTGTGGCTCAGCGACACTGGGAAATGGCCTTTCTCTGAGTGGATGTCAGCCCTCATTTCTCTGAACCAGAAGAGCCACCTCCCTTACTCCCAACTATCCAAGTCTGACCTGCGTGACATGAGGCAGTGCCTCCACCCTTGAGGCCAGCTCCACGCACCGCTTCCTTCCCAGGGACACCACCCATGCTGAGCCAGGGAGAGGAGGGGAGGGAGGTCATGGCGGGGGATACCACAGGTCCTCTGAGGGGGCTGGGGGCTGCGGCTGGACAGGAGTGAGCCAGCCTCTCATCTGATTCGGTCTGGGTGGGCCACAGCTGGCAGGGCCAGGGCTGGGCTTGACCCCTCTGCCTTCAAGCTCCAGATGTGTGTGCTGTGCAGTGTTGGGTGGAGCTGGGGTTGCCTCCATGCTATATGTCCTGAGCCGAGTCACTCAACTCCTGGAGCCTCAGTTTCCCCACCTCTAAAACGAGGAGGAGGATTAGTTATCTATTGCTAAGCACCACGGCTTAACACAGCAGGCACGAGCCGTTGGCGCTCCCTGTCTGTGGCTGCACGTCCCCAGGTTCAACCAGCCACGGATCAAAAACGTGGAAAAAATTGATGGCTGCACCTGTACTGACAGATACAGAATTTTTCCCTTGCCATTATTCCCTAAATAATACAACTATTTACATTGTGTTAGGTTTTATAAGTAATCTGGAGATGATTTAAAGTATATATTGGAGGATGTATATAGGAGGCACCATTTTACCTAAGGGACTTGAGCATCTATGGATTTTGGTAACCATGACGGGGTCCTGGCACCGATCCTCTGCGACACTGAGGGTGACTGCATTCTCTCTGTGTCCGTGGGTGGGAATCCAGGCGCGGCATGGCCGGGGCTCTGGCCCCTGTTCTCTCATGAGGTTGCAGTTGAGCTGCTGGGCTGGGGCTGCGGCTCATCTGCAGGCTGTGCTGGGGG